GCGTATGCTACACATTGCCGTTAGCTAACACTTTCACCAAGTGATTACTAAAAAGCTTTGTGGGAATTTATTGGCGCCAGAGTGATGGTAAGTTTTTCCTCATAAAACTGTATCTTGATGTGTGTTTGTTTTTCAATATCATTAGCATCGCAAGATTTGTTTAGTTTACACGTCCGTAATGCACACCCGCCTTCAGAGTCAAGAACCAATCAAATTTTGTGAAGACAAGCGACCTGAGAGCGCGATTCGCAACGCTGCGATCGCTATCGCGTCCTGTGTGTTGGGTTTCACCCTGGCTGCGATGACAGCCGTTAATCGCTGTAGTTTGTCGCTGCCTGTGTGTCGAGCCCTTTATCCCATAATTCTGCTGCTACAGGCTCAGACTGCAGGAGGAAAAACTGACCACATTTCCTCACTCCGCTGCTGCAAAGTAAAGAAAAGTAAAGTAAAGTAAAGTAAAGTAAAGTTTAGTTATATAGCACCTTTCATTGACATAAAATCACAAAGCGCTTCACATAAAATAGAATAAAAACAAGAAAGTAAAATAGTAAATTAAAACATCACCACAGCATTACAATTCATACAATGCAAGTAGTAAAAAAACCTCTCTCTCTACTTTCTATGTTTGTATTTGCGATATTTCTTGTCATTTATCTGTATTTCTTTCATTTTATGTTTGCTGGTGTCTCTTTCTACTAAGCATGAGAAAATGTAAAGCTTTGATGCAATCTGCTAGCTGTCACATATACTGTGCTGTTAATAACATTTCCAGTACTAATTGACATTTCATAACATGCTGTGTGTGTCTGTATTGAATTAGAATTATAATAAAGTCATGGAGCTAGTGGGGGGGGTGTCGACCCAGCCTGGGTGTGCTTTTTTTATATGTTCTGATAGTGGCCCGAATGTTGGAGTGGGTGTAGTATGTCTTCTGGGGTGGGGATTGGGTTGGTGGCCGTTGGTGGTGGCTGGGGGCCATACTGGGCCGGCTGGTTGGCCCCTTTGCTGTGGCGGGGGCCCGCCCTGGGTGCCCCCTTGCTCTGTCAGCGGTTGGGTGGGCGCTCTTGGCCGGGCCGTCCTTGCTGGGGAACGGTGGCCTCTCTGGGCGGCGGGCCGGCTATGGGGCTGGGGTCGAGTTTTGGGGGTCTAGGTGGCTCTGGGGGGGTAGGGTATTGGTCCCGGCTTCTGGTAGCCTTTGGGGCTCCGTCAGTCCATGGTCTGGGGTTCCGTGGGCTTGGCGGTTTGCCTGGAGGGAGAGGTAGTTGGGCTGCTCTTCCTGGGTGGGTTTCGGGGAACAGGAGGGCTTACTGGGGCCACTGGGGGAGCTGACTCCCTGTGGGAGCATTTTGCTCCTTCAGCTTATTCTCCCCATCCCTCACCAAACACCTCCATCCTCACTTTCATCTTCACCCATGTAGGGTTTTTTTTGGGGCACAGTTTTGTTATAAGAGTAACAATGTTACATTTCTATTTGCCATAACCACCTGGGCCCCAAATTTTATTGTACATCTTAGACATTCACTCATAACATTTTCATGAAATTCACGTATAGGAACTTAAGGTTGGCACTCATGGCTATTGGAGGCCAGATGGCTCCACTCTCGCCTCCTGTGCCTGTGCCCACACCCCAAGGTTTGAATATAGACACTTAGGGTTTTGGGTTAGAGTAGTGGTGGAGGGGAAACTGGCACCACGCCGGCCTCTGCCTCTTCTTCTTTCCCTTTTTAATTACTCTATAGAACAACACGCACCAACAGTACATCTGGGGGTGGGGGTGTGGGTGTCAGGGTCTTTACTCCCATCCCGTTCCCCGACTGCCATTTGGGGAGGGGGTCCCGAAGAAGGGCGGACCGCCAGGTGCGGTCCTGGGCTGTGGGTGGGCTCGGGGCTTGGACGGTTGCCGGGGGCAGGGCTGGCTCTCCATCCTCCCTGGTGCTGCTTGGTCTCCTGCGGTGTGGCTCTTGATTCCTGTGGAATGGGGGGTGGACGGCTGGGGGGGTGCACTTGGTCGTTGGCAGTGTGGTCATGGGTGTGGCTTCTCTGCGGCGGGGGGCTGGCCGGGCGTCCTGGTGCGGCCCGGGCCGGGCCATGGCTATCTGCTCCTCTCCACCTCAGAATGATTGGGTCTACCTCCTGGGTTTGGGTGTGTGCTGCCTCCAATAGGGGGTGGGTGCATGTCCTGGACCTGGGGGTTATAGAGTGTGTATCGGGGGTATGAGTGGAATGTGGTGTCCTTGTATGTCTTTGATTGAGTGGGGGTGAGGATGAGGGTGGGATGGTGCGATTGTGTATGTTTGGGTATTTGTCAGGCTGCGGTCTGGGCTGCCCCTACTGCTGGTTTATCTGGGGGCCCGCTGCTACTCGGCCCCCCGGTGGGGTGTGCGGCTAGCCGCTGGCGTGCTGGGGGTTCCCGGGGTCTGGGGCTGGGAGCTGGGGTATGTGCTGGCCTGGCCTGGTGACTGCTTGCTGGGGCTCAGGGCCTCTGGACCTGTCGGGCTTTGGCCTGGAGGGGGTGTGCCCTGGGGGCCAGGACCTCTGTGCCCTTTCCTGGATCTGCTCTGGTATGGCGGGTGCCGGTGAGGCCCATGAGTTTGTCGCTGCTGGCCCCGGGGGCTGTGCGTGTGGTCTCTGGGGGGACTCTCCCAGTTCTCCCCTATGGTCTGATCTGGGGGGTGGGTGGACGGATCTTCCCGTGCGGGTGCCCCTTGGGTGCTCTGCACTCGGGATCCCTCTCGGGCCCTTGGGCTCTGGTCTTCCCTATATCTGCCTCGTGTCTTGGGGTTGGGTCTCGGTCCTCCACAGTCACTATTAAATATTCCATTGGAGAAATCTTGTATATACACGCATGTTCACAACTGCTCACAAACAGGTGCTCTGATCCGGGGGGTTCTGACTGGTCACTGAGTGTGTATATATGTCTGTGTGTATATACTGACAATATTTATGAATGTAGGCATGTATGTATGTATATCTTTATATATGTATGGGTTTGTGTATATATTTATATATRCCCTCCATGTATTTATCCATTTATTTTTCAGGTGAGCDGACAGATGTTGGGTGTGTGGTCCTGTGTTTTGTTGGTGTATATTTAATATACTTCTAATCGCTATTTCAATCTTTCTATCTTTCTAATTACCTCTCTCTGTTTTTCTCTCTGTCTCTATTTTCTCTTCACTTAAAAAAAATTCACTGATGATGAAGAAATAATAAAGTAATATTTAGTTTTGTTTTCTACTGAAGCGACAAAAAAAAAAGAATTATAATAAAGTGACTGTACATGGATTTGACTGGGGACCTATGCATAGTGTCCTGCGTTGGCTTCGGTTGTGAAAAAGCATTATATGTTTTGTATTTCATATTCTTAGGAATTTACAGACCTGGTGTTTTTTGAGCAGAATGTTGGCATTCGTCAGGTCTTTCACATCCTCATCTCCACTCTGTAGCTGCTGCTGAAGCTCGCCCAGCCACTTCTTCATGTCAGCCAGACTCTGGTCGAAGAGCTCTGAGCGGTTGGCATCAAACAGCAGCCGAGCTTTCTCCTGGGTGGTGGACTCCAGTTTGTCCCACAGCTCATGAAGCTTGGCCAGGCGCTCTGTCACAATGGGCTCAAACTCAGGCTTTGACTCCATGAGCTCCTGACCCTCCTTGTGTTAACAAAAACAAAGAAAAAAAGCTTGTTTTCAATATTCTCAACAGAAAATAAATACAGTGGATAAACATTTATGCAGATATTGAGTTTGATACGCTCCACAAATGTTTGTCCCTTCGTCCTTTTTGTGCTAGCTGCACTGCAGTGTACCAGAGAGACTTGGCCAAGAATAGTTTATAGCTGCATCACTAAAATCAATGATTGTGCTCCTGATAACACACAACAGAAACATGACCATCAGGACACAAACTAACAGGCAAGGGCAGCCTCTTTCCCAGAGCTGCTGACTCCATTACATCCCCTCAAACACACGTTCAAACCCCCTGAAGAGAAGAAACAAGCTACTGCCAACAAACAGAACACTTATTTATTACCATTTATACAATGATTATAATGTGAGGTACACATTTACAAAACTATTTTCAATTAGAATCTACAGCATTGTAAAAGAAAACATGTTAATATTTTACTGTACACAGTAAATGTTCTAGTTTTGCAGGTTTCTTTGAAAGTTTCCAGACAAAGTTTTGGAGGAACAAAGTCTCTTGTCTGTGTTTACCTGTGTCAAACTTATAATAAAGAGATCCAGTATGAACAGAATTATTTCAGTGTACAGCTCACTTTAACATTATAATACAACTTTATAGTAATCTAAGCTTATTGCAGACACTTTGATGTATGAATTGACTAAGAAATTGTAATATTTAAAGGGACACCCGATTAGTTGTAACATTAGACTTTATTTGATAAACATTTATTTTAACTGTAAAATAAAGACTGTAAAAATACTGTTGGCTGTTTAGTTT